AAAAAGAGGATCTTGTTTTTCTTAATTCAAGCATATCAAAAGTTTTTTCTACAATACATTAAATAAGTTTTAGACCCCTTGTTAAATAATCTTTTCATGCAATAAAAATCAGAAAAAGAAGATTCTCTTTTGAGTAAATGGGTTGAACATTTTGAAAAAATTCTTGACATGGGGTCCCTATTCATACATGTAATTTTTCGTATTGTTTGATTGATATTTTTATCATCATGTGTACTACACTTGAAAGAAAACATATTGTTTTAATAAAAACCACCATATTTGTGCCCAGAAAGTCGGTGAAAGATATGATTGTCTAAAATCACTTGCAATATGTCACGTGGTCCTTTCCTTGAAACGAGACTTTAATGAGATATTAAAGGGATATGGCAAATCTTCTATTCTGATAGTTTTAAAAATTGGCAACATATGCAAATGATATCTGATTGAAGACTGATAAACTAGCAATTAATTGGAAAGTGGAAATATAAGCTTGAAATCACATCAGTCTTTTTGAGATTATCTCGGGTAAAGCCGCATGATGCTATCGATTCTGATATTGGGGACAGTATTTTATGTCGCACCTTATGTTAGGAGTGGTGAGTATATCTGTGCAAAGAATATTTAGAAAGAAAGTTTTTTCAAATCTCTTTGACAACTTAATAATCTTGTTATATTCAAAAAGCCGATGTCTTATAAAAATAATTACTCACATAGACTTTAAAATATGAACCTTCCACTATAAATAAACTAAACTGAACATAAAGTAATTTTTCATTTTGGCAATGTTCATTTTTCATTCATTCAAAATGATTTTGGCAACTTGAAGTATATTAATATGAGTTGTCATGAAAATATTGCATTTAAACATAATAATCAAATACCAAAATGGCTTCAGGGAATATCAGTTGTGAAAGATGCACTGGTATTCACCTCAATAGAATTAAATATTTGTATAATATTTGATGTTTTATTCTAGATATAACTTATTATACTGTCCCAATTGCCTTTGCATTCGGGATTCACATTAATTATTTGTTTTATTCTAGATATAACATGTGATAGAGGGGTTTGTCCCAATTGCCCTTATACAATAACTTGCATTCAAGATACATCTGATACACCATCCTGTGATTGTACTAACTGTGGATGTCTGCAAGGTGAGTGAACCTAAGAACTTTTTCAATTTTTTTATTTCTTTATTTTTAACTTAATAATATTCAAATTTACATAATATTCTGACAATGATTAGAAATAATACATTATGTTTAGAAGCATTCAAAATGTTCAATAATTTTAGAATTCATTTTATATTTCTTACTCATGTCAAATATTTGCTAATATCTTTAAGGGTGAAACCAACTGACTTTTAAAAGGTTCTGCTGAATTCATTAACACACCTTTATGAAACAACATACATCAATGTGATCAAGATAAGACATTGGTGACCACATAGTGGGTCTTCTTTCTTGGAGGGGGGGGGGGGGGGGTAGCTCCAACTGCAAAAGTACAGATAACATAAATGCTATCTGTACAAAAATTTCTAACTTGATAGAACTACTCTACAAGACTAGACATAGACTGACTTTAAATACAATGACCACTATCTATTACTCCATGATTTATTCCTACTTAAGCTATTGTAACCTTTTATGGGGAAATGCCATTAAAATTCTTATTCAAAAGTTGTATGTTCTGTAAAATATATAAGCACTAGTAAAAGTTGTAATGGAACTTAGCAAGAAAAAGCAAACTCTAAGTGCATACCAGTCAAGAAAAATAAACCCCATATAGCCCAAAACCATGATCTAACGTGAAAAGATCGAAACAATGTCTCATACCCCCTTTCCCCCTACCATTCAAGAACCGATATCACAATCCAAGACCAGAACACCAAGGGACATTTCATTCATACTAAAGTCATTACAATACATGTTGAAGAAAAAATTAGAAATTGATAGCCAATACGATGTGGGATAGACAAAATCCACAGTCTCCAAGTCCATAGGCGTTTCAAATGGTCAACATCCATTCACAAAAGCTGTCGCCATAATCCATAAAACACAATAATTCACAATGGTCATCAGGAGAAAACTATGGCTGGTTTCGATACCTATTTCTCAACCATTAATGCCATAGCCGGAATCCACCTCAAAAGGTGCCAAGTGAAAAAGAAATTCTTAAGAGTTATCACTTATTCTGATCGTCTAGCTCTTTCAGGACCACTTTTTTCAAAACTGAAAATATTGAATATTTTTGACATCAATAAACTACAAACAGCTACGGTAGCTTTGTTCAGAAAACTGTTTCAGAATCACCATAATAATTTCCATTTCAATAATTCAAACATTTATTCGTTCCAGGAACAGCAATTCATAATCATGACACAAGAATTAATGAGAATTTACATGTAACTGTAAAAAGTTCAGAACAGAAATTGGAAGAAAATCAATTGAAACAAGTGGCCCATTACTTTACAATACTCTTTCACTTGATCTCAAAATATCTAAACATCAAATCATTTGAACGAAAGTTTAAGTTTGATTTGCAAAGTCATTATTAGATCTACTTTGAAAAATGCTTTCTTCTCATTACTTGTATTTTATAATGATGCATTTTATGTTTTGTCATATTTTTGTTTCCATAGAACCCGACTTTTAATTTAATAAATGATATATTGTATGTTAAACATGGAACTTATACACCCCACGCAGTGTCTTTTCATGTCAATGTGAAATACTGTATCTGAAACATTTAAAATAAAATGAATTGAATGAAAAAAATGAATTGAAAAGTTAGAACCAATAGAGTAACTAAATGCCAGTAATTCACCTTGAGGTGGCCTATCACTGGAGTGAAACGTTAAACCAATAAGTAACTAAATCCCAGTCATTCACCTTGAGGTGGCATATTACCAGAGTACAGGTTAAACCAATAAAGTAACTAAATGCCAGCAATTCACTTTAAGTTGGCTTATCACTGGAGTTAAACTTTGGTTAAACAATAAAGTTACTTAATGCCAGTAATTCATCTTAAGATGGCCTATCAGAGGAGTGAAAGGTTAAACCAATAAAGTTTCTAAATGCCAGTAATCCACCTTGAGGCGCCACATCACTACAGTTAAAGGTTAAGGATGCAGTACCGGGTCGGTTTTCACGTCTGTTTGCGCAGGTTTGACTTCCGGTTTGAGAAAGCTAGCTCCCAAGAACGTCATTTTCGCATTTAGTCTTATTCAAAAATTATAGTTTATTTCGATAATGGTGTTTCCAGAAAAGAATTAAATTGCAAACATTTTATCAAGCATATTTTATCCCTTTCACTTTTATGGGAAAACTTGTTCTTGAGTCGCAATTAGTGGATACGAAAACCAGGGTTCGAAAGGTGCCAGCTCTATTGAGCAAAATCTAATGTCTGGAACTTTTTCTACGCTGACCTGGTACTGCATCCTTAAACGAAAAAGTAACCAAACGACAGTAATTTACCTTGAGCTGGCCTATCACAAGAGTTAATGGTAAACCCATTAAACAAACTAGAAGTCAGTATTTTAAATTTAGGGGTCCCTGCCTCCTAAAGGAGAAGCCTCTCAGCCACATGCCACTCAGTGTATTTTGTCCTTCCCTAATTCTGAACCTCACACCTCCTCCAAGTTTAGTCATTTACCACTAATTCCTCTTCATATTTCAGGTCAACCTAATCTTTGTGATCATCAAATTAATGTTATAGAGCCAGTAGTGGACAGTCTCATAACATACACTTCTGGTGATTTAACAAACACAATCATTGCGGTAAGTTTAACTAGAGAAACAACAACTTGTACAAAACATCAAGTTAATGTTATAGAGCCACCAGCAGACAGCTACATAACACAAACTTCTGATCATATAACAAACACAATTGTTTTGGTAAGTTTAACTAGAGAAACAACAACTTGTACAAAACATCAAGTTAATGTTATAGAACTTCAAAGAACATTAATAGCTCAGTTGAAAGTCAAAATTGATAAAATGCTTAATCCACTTACAGCATTGAAAAATAAAATTTCATCCAAACACCTTGAAAGAATGTACCTATCGTTCATTTTGCCAAAAATAGAATTTGGATCAATCTTTTATAATTGTTCACCACACTATGCCCTAACTACCTTGGATAGGTTACACTACAGAGCCGCCTTGTTAGTGTCTGGGACCATTAAGGGCTCCTCTGAAATCGAAGTCTTGAATTCACTAAACTGAAAAACACTTAGTCAGAGAAGAAAAGAAAAAACGGCAATTCTAATGTACAAGGTATCCAAAAACAAGGCTCCTAGTTACGTACAATCTATATACAATGAACTTAAAATCCAGGTACAGAGCGTATACTTTGTGCCCAGCATGAATATAATATTCCAGCAAAATATTCAATGAAATTTACAAACTTTCCTGCCGTTGCACCAATAAGAATATGGAAAATGATTTCACCTGAAGTTAAACGCAGTCCCTCAATATCAGTCTTTAAGTCAAGGTATAATAAAACCAAATGTATAACCCAAACCCTAGGTCAGTGTTGACAACAAAATTGAATATAAAATGATCTATTGAAATTAAACTAAACCGTTTAAGAGCAGACCTAGCACTTAAATCAGACTTTTTTAGGCAACTCCAGAGTGTAGCAAATCCCAACCATACAAAACATCAAGTTAATGTTATAGAGCCACTCATATTAACTCTAGAGTGAATCAAACAAAAACAAAACATTCATTTTTTTGATTTTCAATTGGGAGGCTATTTTGAGTTAATTTTGAGCTAAGGTCTAATTTGGGAAAAAGCTGTAAGTAGGAAACTCTATCATGAATAAACCCAGGGCTCACTTTTTGGGTTGCCATGCATAACAGTTTATATCATTTCTTCTTTTATAGGGATCTCAATTTGAAACAGGATTAATTACATTGCATTTCAATGTAAATGGCGGAAGAGCTCGGTTATGGAAGCTCTACATGTTAGCAGATAACTGCAACTTTGCCCTTGATAATATGAATTCATGTGAGGAAAGGAAAGCTGCAGCAGAAGGCATCCAAATTCATCTTACATTAATTGTCAATACAGACATAAATTTTTTGCAATTAGTGTTGAATGAACTCCAATCATCTGGCGTAAGTGCGGAAGATGCAACCCTGCAAACAAAGATTTCTGCTTCTCTCGAGTTCTATAATGAATTGAAGGATTTTCTAACATTTAAATTGTCTATATTAACCAACACAGGTATGTGTCATATAAAAAAAACACTTTATAAATTCCAAATGAAAAAAACTAGGCAAATGAGTCAAATGTTTACAAAAAATGAATACTATTTATTTCACAAGTTCATAAATAAATTTACAAAAACATTTTCATGGCTTTATCAACCAGAAGGAGCATTTCTGCTGACACTTTAAACAAAGATCATATGACAGTAAAAGAAGTTCCTGCATCGTTAACTACATGTGTTACAGCTTCAGTTAATTGACTTCAAAGGTTTTACACAAAGGGTTTGTATTCTATCAGTCATTCCCTTCCTTTATATTAACTTTATGGCAGCTTTTTATTATTTCATGATATAAAGCCCACATTTGAATACAATAAAAATAGTTTTGGGAGTGGTGACTTAGACCATGTCTAGAGACATCACCCGTTATGAACACACAGCAAGTCATGCAATCTGTGTCAAATGGTGAGCGATCTTGTTTAGGGGACCTGAGAGACAGAGTCTAGTGTCTTAGCTTCCCCGAACCACCGTCAGTGATTCTGTGACAGGTAGAGTATATTTAGTTGATCCTAGGATGATGACATTGGTGGTGTCACTCACTGTCTCAAGATTTCCATCTTTCCACATATACAGTAATATATTTAAACTATAAATGGCTGTATAATGTTTCAGGTTATGAATGTGTGGTCGACAGTCACTGTCAGGGTGTATGTATTGATTGTGTATGCCATAGGTGTAGAGATAATGCCGACTGTGCCAATGAACCTGGTAAATATTCAACATATATATTATCAATGTGCATGCCACAGGAGCTGAGTTAAAACTATACATATTATGAATTGATCTGAATTTGATAAAAATGCCAAAATATGATGGGATCACATGGTGAAAAAGTTTTTCCCGACAGAAGCAAAACTAGGAGTTTTGTCTAGATGTTGTTGAAAGACAGCTGGAAGGAACTTCTCTGTAATCAACTGTATGATTGGCAATGTTGATATTTTGCTTCATAAGCAAGAACTTTAACACATTTTATCAGACAAAGTATGATAAAATCCTTCTTTTCAGACAAACCAAACTGCAGAACAAACGGGTCAGGCATGAAAATATGTGGAGATCCTCACATAAGCCAATCTATAACAGGATCAGACAAGAACCTTTGCTATGACTTTCTTGGTGAACAAGGGAAATCTTATTTATTTCTGGATGATTTTGGAATCAGTGAGTATTTTTAGTAAAAATGCTTGAGGCAACAACCAATTTTTCTTAACTGTTTAAAGATATTATGTACCAAGATTCAAACTCTCTGAACCAATTTTCTCTTATCTAGGGAACTATATACTAAGAGAACAAATATTGATATTTGTGAAAAGGGTTTCATTCAGGGGAATGGGGTTGAAACTGATTCCCCTTTTCATAATTATCTTGGTGGAAATAAAGAATATAAGATATGGGACAACAAACTATATCTTGTTTCAGAAATTGTGGCTAAACTCAGTAAATGGGACAAGAGAATTAATCTTATTCCAGAAATTGTGGCTCAGTAAATGGGACAACAATCAACATTTCTGTTTAGAAAACTGTGGCAAAGCTGAGTAAATAGAAAGACAAATTATATCCTTGTTTCAGAAATTATGGCTAAGATCAGTAAATGCGACAACAAATTATATCTTATTTCAGAAATTGTAGCTAAGCTGAGTAAAGGGGATGGAAATCCAAGTAATACAGAGTTGGTTGAATACGTAAATGACCTCACAATCGCAGTTGGTGATGTTGTCATACAACTAACACCACAAAACATCAAAATTAAGAAATCTGGAAATGCTACCACGATTATCCGATGGGCCATACAAGAAATTTCGAATGATGTTGGGTGGATATCTGTATCAAGAAAGCAAGCGAAAGTTTATTTGAGGGAAGGCGACACCACAGTTAATGTGATTCGTAAAGGCCTGTCCCGCAATACAAGTTTCCTAAATTTTGGAATCAGTGAAGTCAATGGTTTGTCGAAGAAAGCAGGGGGGATTCTGGGTAAGTACAAAAAAAATGGTATGATTAATAAATAAATTCAAATGCATGTGATAAATTGAGTATTAAATTATAAGAACTCCTGGGATTAAATTGAAAGAGGGAAACAACAAAAAGAAATGTTACTTATTTCTAAAGGCGAGCTGGCATTCATTTCAAAGTACCTTTAACTAGAAGCCATGTAGAAGAGCCTTATGACAATAATAGGATCTTATATAATGGTTCATTTGAAAGCCCTATACACATATTATCTGTATATTTCAAAATACAATGAGAGAAAAATAGACTACCAGTACTGCAGTAATAATACAACACAGAATATAAACTCTATAAACCAAACATTTTATGAGGTGGACGCTATTTTTAAACTCAGTATATTTTTGTTTCATTTAAAATAAAGGTGTCCTTAACGTAGGAATAGTTTTTTAATGAATATCTATAGTATATGTCACTTCACTGTAATTGTAACATTACATTTCCAGGCTCCATTGCTAATGAGGCAGTGTTTATCCAAGGATCAAACACAACCACAGGGAGTGGGGACTTTATATCCTGGTCAGGAATAATGGTCCCTGTTAACATAGATTCCAAACTATGCCTTAAAGTGGACCAAATGTATGAGTACAAATTGAACAAACAGTTTGAGAAGTTTCAGATCAAAGATTTTCCAAAGCTGGACTTTTCTGAAAAATAAACATTATTTGGAAAAATTACCCCATTGCGTCAAAATAGCATATGTCAAGTGTATAGTCATGTTTTAAATAATTTGTGCCGCCCTTGATGACAGCTGGTTCAAGGCATGATGAGGGTGGGTACATAGGAAGTACAGAGGTACCTTTAAGTATAAAAATAATTCAATTTAATTGTATATCTGAAACAATAACATTTGTGAAAGACAGATATTTCTTAAACACTGAAATAAATATGCCTTCTTGTTTAGGACCTTTAGGCAACGACCAAAATATGAAGGTGTTGTCCTTTTTTCAACTAGAAAAACAGCAACTTCAAGGAGTAGCAAATCCCACAACTAGAAAAACAGCAACTCTTGCAACTCCTTTGTCCCTTGTATCAGCATTTAAATATTGACCCAAATCTGTCTACTGGTATTTGAGTTATCAAAGATTATGTTTTTTTGAAAAATGGCGGCCATTTTTCCTCTTGAGCAGCTCCTCTGTCCCTAGGTGATCATGATATACATGTAGAAAAATATAAAATTTGAACCAAATTGTCAACTAGTATTTGGGTTATTAAAGATTACATTTTATTGAGAAATGACGGCAATTTTGATAAATAGTGGCCATTTTGAACATTTCTTCTGGAGCATCTACTCCCTTATCTCAAAGCATCAGCGCAGCATATAAAATCTAAACCAAATCCATCAATGGGTATTTGATTTATTTGTTTTTTAAGAAAAATGGCACCATTTTAAATCTAACTGTCATCAGAATATGAAATTTGAACAAAATCCATCGACTTGTATTTGAGTTATCAAATATTACATTTTTAACAAAAAATGGCAGCCATTTTGAAATACATGTGCCATCTTGAAAACTCCTTCTTAAGGTGGCTTATTAGAAAGATTATTTTTTCGTGAAGCCACTCAGTAAAATTACAATTTCTCTGCACCAAGCTGTTAAATCAAGATCATTCAAGTACCAATGTGTTCTTGACACGTTTGGGCATCTGGAAATGACAACATTTACCCAAAGTGTGCACGCTATATTGACGTAATTTATGACTGAATTTGGGAAGACAAAATTTGAGATACACAAACATAATTGCTTGTAAAAACTATTTACAAAAGTGTACAGAGATTCTAACCTACTTGGGTAAGGTTTGAAGATTTGAAGATACAACTGTCTCATTAAGCAGGTAGAGGAGTATACAGAACAGAATACAGAAGCAATTGCCATATTACCGTTTGAAGATGTTAGTACATGTCACGTAGGCCAGTGTTTTATATGGGGATTAGATGTACTTGTTTACATGAACTGTATTGATTATACATGACGTTTTCAAATTGTGACATCATCTTAAATCATTATTTAGCACAAATAAAAATATGATGTTATTAATTATCATTGCGCGCTTAAATTAAACCTGTCTCCGTGATCTCAAAGATTCCAAAGATTGGCAAACAAATGAAAACAACATGCAAAATTGTTAAAATAGTTGAAAATCCCTCAAAACAACAGGCAATTTTGACTAAAAGAACTACAACAGTTGCCTGTTATATGGTGCTAATGAAACCCCTGATGAATGTAAATAGAGAGCCATACTTACTTTTAGTTGGTGATTTTGTGTTTTCTTTCTGAGATTCAATGCGTTTCTGGATGTCACAGAATGACAATAGATCGGCAAACAAGAGGCGAATCATACGTATGTGCCATAACATTTGAAGTTGCTGTGTCACATATGGCATAGATTCATGTAGACTGAAATAGAGACACAATTTATGTCACATATGGCATAGATTCATGTAGACTGAAATAGAGACACAATTTATGTCACATATGGCATAGATTCATGTAGACTGAAATAGAGACACAATTTATGTCACATATGGCATAGATTCATGTAGACTGAAATAGAGACACAATTTATGTCACATATGGCATAGATTCATGTAGACTGAAATAGAGACACAATTTATGTCACATATGGCACAGATTCATGTAGACTGAAATAAAGACACAATTTATGTCACATATGGCATAGATTCACAAAGACTGAAATAGAGACGCAATTTATGTCACATATGGCATAGATTCACAACGACTGAAATAGATACACAATTTATGTCATATATGGCATAGATTCATGTAGAAAAAAATAGAGACACAATTTATGTCACATATGGCATAGATTTATGTAGACTGACATGGAGACACATATTATGTCACATATGGCATAGATTCATGTAGACTGAAATAGAGACACAATTTATGTCACATATGGCATAGATTCAAAACGACTGAAATAGAGACACAATTTATGTCATATATGGCATAGATTCATGTAGACTGAAACAGAGACGCAATTTATGTCACATATGGCATAGATTCACAACGACTGAAATAGAGACACAATTTATGTCACATATGGCATAGATTCATGTAGACTGAAATAAAGACACAATTTATGTCACATATGGCATAGATTCATGTAGACTGAAACAGAGACACAATTTATGTCACATATGGCATAGAGTCATGTAGACTGAAATAGAGACACAATTTATGACACATATGGCATAGATTCATGTAGACTGAAATAGAGACACAATTTATGTCACATATGGCATAGATTCATGTAGACTGAAATAGAGACGCAAATTATGTCACATATGGCATAGATTCATGTAGACTGAAATATAGACACAATTTATGTCACATATGGCATAGATTCATGTAGACTGAAATAGAGACACAATTTATGTCACATATGGCATAGATTCACAAAGACTGAAATAGAGACGCAATTTATGTCACATATGGCATAGATTCACAACGACTGAAATAGAGACACAATTTATGTCACATATGGCATAGATTCATGTAGACTGAAATAAAGACACAATTTATGTCACATATGGCATAGATTCATGTAGACTGAAACAGAGACACAATTTATGTCACATATGGCATAGAGTCATGTAGACTGAAATAGAGACACAATTTATGTCACATATGGCATAGATTCACAAAGACTGAAATAGATACACAATTTATGTCATATATGGCATAGATTCATGTAGAAAAAAATAGAGACACAATTTATGTCACATATGGCATAGATTCATGTAGACTGACATGGAGACACATATTATGTCACATATGGCATAGATTCATGTAGACTGAAATAGAGACACAATTTATGTCACATATGGCATAGATTCAAAACAACTGAAATAGAGACACAATTTATGTCATATATGGCATAGATTCATGTAGACTGAAACAGAGATGCAATTTATGTCACATATGGCATAGATTCACAACGACTGAAATAGAGACACAATTTATGTCATATATGGCATAGATTCATGTAGACTGAAATAGAGACACAATTTATGTCACATATGGCATAGATTCATGTAGACTGAAATAGAGACGCAAATTATGTCACATATGGCATAGATTCATGTAGACTGAAATATAGACACAATTTATGTCACATATGGCATAGATTCATGTAGACTGAAATAGAGACACAATTTATGTCACATATGGCATAGATTCACAACGACTGAAATAGAGACACAATTTATGTCATGTATGGCATAGATTCATGTAGACTAAAATAGAGACACAATTTATGTCACATATGGCATAGATTCATGTAGACTGAAATAGAGACACAATTTATGTCACATATGGCATTGATTCATGTAGACTGAAATAGAGACACAATTTATGTCACATATGGCACAGATTCATGTAGACTAAAATAGAGACACAAATTATGTCACATATGGCATAGATTCACAACGACTGAAATAGATACACAATTTATGTCACATATGGCATAGATTCATGTAGACTGAAATAAAGACACAATTTATGTCACATATGGCATAGGTTCATGTAGACTGAAATAGATACACAATTTATGTCACATATGGCACAGATTCATGTAGACTAAAATAGAGACACAATTTATGTCACATATGGCATAGATTCATGTAGACTGAAATAGAGACACAATTTATGTCACATATGGCATTGATTCATGTAGACTGAAATAGAGACACAATTTATGTCACATATGGCACAGATTCATGTAGACTAAAATAGAGACACAAATTATGTCACATATGGCATAGATTCACAACGACTGAAATAGATACACAATTTATGTCACATATGGCATAGATTCATGTAGACTGAAATAAAGACACAATTTATGTCACATATGGCATAGATTCATGTAGACTAAAATAGAGACACAATTTATGTCACATATGGCACAGATTCATGTAGACTAAAATAGAGACACAATTTATGTCACATATGGCATAGATTCATGTAGACTAAAATAGAGACACAATTTATGTCACATACATTTACATGTGGACACAATGCACAATTCAAAGATATTTGACATTCAGTATTGTCGAAGGGGGTGGGATTTGACATTGTATTTAGTCCCTTGAGTAGGGACCTTTAAAATTCACATTCCCTAAGTAATCTGAACTGAACTATAATTGACTAAATATTAGCTCCTAGGGTGTGAAAATGGACTGCTAAATTTCATTTTACCGAAACCCCTATGAATGGTTGTTACCTAAAGGTCAACAGAAGACAAACAAAATGCCCTTTCTCACCTGTTATCTGTCTGTTGGGAGAACCATCCAAGAAGACAAACAAAATGCCCTTTCTCACCTGTTATCTGTCTGTTGGGAGAACCATCCAAGAAGACAAACAAAATGCCCTTTCTCACCTGTTATCTGTCTGTTGGGAGAACCATCCAAGAAGACAAACAAAATGCCCTTTCTCACCTGTTATCTGTCTGTTGGGAGAACCATCCAATAAGACAAACAAAATGCCCTTTCTCACCTGTTATCTGTCTGTTGGGAGAACCATCCAAGAAGACAAACAAAATGCCCTTTCTCACCTGTTATCTGTCTGTTGGGAGAACCATCCAAGAAGACAAACAAAATGCCTTTCTCACCTGTTGTCTGTCTGTTGGGAGAACCATCCAAGAACAGGATGCCAGTGAGTCAAGTTTGACTTCTTGTTCTGTACATATTGCTGGCAATTCTCCAGCAGCCTAGTCACAACATACTGAAAATAAACACAAGGTTTCAATTAACTGCACTTTAATGCATTAGATGGAAGTGCCTTTAACTAATTTAAATAAATAGTTCATTAAAGGGACAATGTCTTTAACTCTAATTAACTTTATTAATTCATTAAAGGGGCATTACTTTTAACTCTGATTAACTTTACTTTGATTCA